GAAAACCCATAAATCCGGGTTTGATGCAACCTACTCCACCACTAAACTCTCATGCATACTGCTATATATGGAGGGGAAACCCGAAGGCTTGGGGGAGAAAATAGGAGGGGAATCGATAGAGAAGGGGGATTATAACTCCCAAAAAACAAATCTTTGAATTCCAGTCTTTTTAATTTCATCCAATAAAAAGAAGTTGAATGGCCAGAATAGGACCTATAACTGAAGATTTGAAGCCCGTCGTTATTCGTAAAAAGCCCCTAACTTTGCCACCAAGAAGGATGAGAAAGTCGTTAACACCGCTCGTCGTGCCGGTGCTGAGATCGAATCCGTCAAAAATCAAATGCTGGGACGAACAAGGCAACATCGAGTAGTACTTCTCTCAATACAAGGAAGCTCGACGAGGAAACCTAAAACCTTGCACATGACCGAGTGCCAACTGAACTGAAGAAAGCCATTATGCAGGCTCGAATGGATAAGAAACTTACCCAGGCTCAACTTGCACAGCTGATAAATGAGAACCCCCATATCATGCGAGAGTACGAATCCGAAAAAGTCATTCCTAATCAACAGATAATTAGAAAACTATCGAGAGAAGGCAAAAGAGGATGATCAAGAACCGCGAGTCTGCAGCGAGGTCCAGGGTAAGGAAACAGGGTTATACCGATCAATTGGAGTTTAAAGTAAATCAATTAAAGAAAATAAATAGTTGGCTCAAAAAGCAAAAGGAAGTGGACAGCTGTTGTTTCTTAATAAAATGCTAGCCAGCTCATTACTCGGAGAGAGAATGTTAGTAAGGAAATTCAGAAGATTTTGACCAATAGGGCAACTAATTTCAACATTGATGATGTGTCCATTACAAGTCTGACTTTCAGGAAGGTATTCACTGCTGAAATTGAGGCTAAACAGGTGGCTGTACAAGATGCTGAGAGAGCCAAATTCATTGTGAATAGGACCAGTAAAGTGATGTTATCCGAGCACAGGGCGAACCCAAGAGCAGCATATCCGAAAACCATGAAAGACCCAATGGTGTATTTCCGACGATCGGATGCTTCCTTCAACGATCCGAACGGTCAACAAGTAAGAGACAACATGAGGAACGATATACTATGACCACAGCTCGATCCAACGGTTAAACCTCACGTAATCAAAGGTAAAAGTGCAAAGATTTTCATTATTTTCCCCGTGTTTGAATTTTAAAAGTTATTGTGCAAATAAGGGTGTTAAAACCCTTTAAATATATTATAAATGGGACCCATAAGCTAAATTGACGTGTTTTCCCTTTAAATATTGTGTTTCCCATTTAAATTTGTTTGTGTAAATTGACGTAAGGGTTAATTCATGCTTAGTCATGCCATCTTTCAACATCATTCATTTTGGTTCTTTTTATTTATTTTTTAGTTTGTTTTATTATTATTTTTATTTATGTTTTACTAACTTTTATTTATCTTTGTTATCTATTTTATTTTATTATTATTATTCTATTAATATTTTTCTCTTTTTCTCTTTTTTCATATTTATTTATTTATTCAATTTTTTCATATTTATTTATTTATTTATTTATTAATCTAACAATATTTTTGATTTTAGGGATATTTTCAACTAATCGAAGGTAATTAATTTGAATCGAACATTTTTTTAAATTTTAATTTTAATTTCAAATTTTCGCAATTAAGACAATCGGAAAATTAATTGGTACCGAAAGGGCAGTACAAGAGTGTTAATCCTTCCTTGATTCTAACCGATTCTCGAACACGACACATTTCTGGTAAAACGCAGATCAGATAAGATGGTGTCCGATCAGCCTAATTTTTTTCTTTAAAATGATTAGTGACGACTCTAACCCATTATTTCATCTAATTCGAAGCTCAATTCTAGGTCCAACTTAAAGACGACCGCGACAGTAATATAAACCGTAAATAAATAAACAAACAAAGATGGGGTTATTTACGTGGTTCCGCGTAAGTGAAGAGAACGACAATCGCGTACACAGCCCACTCGCATAGAATGGGGTTTCCTGGGCCCCCTCAATATTGTGCTCCGTATGATATTTATAATGAAGATAAAACATATTACCAGAGTTGTGATTTTTTAAAAGAAAATAAAATTTGAATATTACAACAAATTAGTAGTTAATTAATATTTAAACAACTCTTATTGATTAAGCAATACAATTAATGTTTTACATCTTTAGAAAAATTAATAAATAATGAATTAAATGCTAATGAATCTCCACACTTTCTTTAAAAGGATATGTCACTGTTTCCTAGTGGCACTCATTAATGATTTTCATATATAAAAAAGGATAACGTCGTTTAAAAAACTCTACTCCATAAAAAAGTAAGTAATAATGCAAGTTGAAGGTGTTAAATAAATTACTAATTTTGTATAGGTTTAAAGTATTAAAACTTAAAAAAAAGAAACAACGCTATGATCCAAGTTGAAGGCGTTCTGCGGCATAGAATTTATATATCTTTTTAAATTAAAATCTTAAAATAATATGTATTTTTTTAAAATATAAAGAATACTAATAAAATCCTATAAATACAATTTGACAATATTTTAAAATGAATATAACAGTAATTGATTAAAAATATTCTTTAACTTCACAATTAATACGACTAGGATAGTCGTCCCTTTAAAATTTCAAATGATCATATATTTAATTTTTTTATTTTCTATTAATACTTTATTATCATTCTCTATAATTTTATAAATTTATCCTCCTAAAATATTAGAAATTTACTATAACATAAAATCTTGTGCCCATCTCTGTCGATGAAAGAGGTTAATTAATGAAATTTCATGATATAAGAGCTGAATTGGGTGTAAAAAGTTTTTCTTCAAAACTTTGAGAGCATTTAACACGCTTAACTTATTATTATTTCAGCCCTATTTATTTTATAATGGCTTAAACTAAAAAAATACTTAAATTATGTCATTTTTTATTTATCTATAGTATTTTTTTATCAAACTAAGTCCTTAAACTATTATATGTAACCACTTTAAGTACTCAAACTATTTTTTGGTCAAAACAAGTACCTAATTTAATATGATGTGTCAACATCTTATTGGTCAAAACAAATCTAACTGAAAAAAATTATAGGACTTAAAATGATTAAATATAATAATTTAAGAGTTTAGTTTGACCAAAAAATAATTTAAGTACTTAAAGCAAAAAAAAAATACATCGTTTGAATACTTATTTTCACTTTAAGCCTTTTATAATCTATATTTAAAATTCATAATTGTCTCTTTAAATAATATAATCTCAAGACTAGAATATAAGTTCTATCATTACAAATATAATCTACTTATTATTACTCCCAACACTTATAACCTTTTTGAAGCCACGAATCAAAAAATGATTTTCATGCATGCATGCAGGGTAAAATGTAATGTTTTTGGTTAAAGCTAGGCGGAATTAATTAACTTGGGAAGGTTAGTTTGACAATTGATATGCATGATTTCCGAGGTAAATGTTGTCTTCTTCTCAACAAACATGCCGCCATGGGAGACTAAAGAACAGGATGCATGGGGTAAACAAATATAGATATTAATTTTGGATGCACAAACCCTAATTTCAGAAACTATTTTCTGAATATTAAAATGTCCTTAACGAATCAGTGCTATATGGAAATTTAAATAATATTTCCGAGGTGGACTTGGTGTTCCAATACGATCCCAATGTTCCCGAGACAGCACGAGTGTGTTGGTAGTAATTTGTTTGAGTATCTCATTGGAACTTCATGTCTGTGTGTTGTTCTCTCATGTCCAAACATTTGCCTCTGTTTTCTCTAACACCGTCTCACAAAAGGCACTAACCAAACACTCTATACTTAAATACAAAATGATAATATTTAATAATGATATTTTTTGGGCAAGAGAATGCAAATGGTCCCTCGACTATGTGATATTACTTTATTAAGTCTTTCGACTATTAAAAGTTACAAAATGGTTCTTCAACTATGGAGTGTTGCTTTGTTGAGTCCCTCGATTATTAAAAGTTACAAAATGGTCCCAACTATCCGTTATGTTCCAAACTCGTCATTTTCCGTTAAAGAATGGAAGATATTATGAGCTGAAGTTAATTTGTTGACTGTAAGATGATAAAATTTGATCTCAAAATCTCAAATGACTATCATATCTCAATCATCATGTTAACATCCAGCTTAAACAACAATCAATTTTTTAATGAAAAATGATGAGTCTGGAACATAATGAATAGTCGGATGACATTTTGTAACTTTTAATAGTTGAGGGACTCAACAAAGCAACACCCCATAATTGAAGGACCATTTTGTAACTTCTAATGGTCAAGGGACTTAATAAAGTAGTACCCTATAGTCAGGGGACTATTTGCGTTCTTTACTTCTTTTTTTTTTTGCTTGACGGTGCATGATGCTTTTAATTTTTTGAAAAAGAAAATGTTATTGATGACATTTTGTAACTTTTAATAGTTGAGGGACTCACAAAGCAACACCCCATAATTGAAGGACCATTTTGTAACTTCTAATGGTCAAGGGACTTAATAAAGTAGTACCTATAGTCAGGGGACTATTTGCGTTCTTACTTTTTTTTTTTTTTGCTTGACGGTGCATGATGCTTTTAATTTTTGGAAAAAGAAAATGTTATTGATTTTATTATATTCAATTGAACTCTTTAATTGAAAAATCAAATCAGTTAAGTTTTTAAATTAAAATCAAATCAATTAAATATTTTAACTATTTTTATAGTTAAGTCTTAATAATTTCTTCTTACTATCTTATGGTACATCATGATGTCATATATTATATCAAGTGATTCGAAAATAACATTGTATTTAACGTACGGTAAGTATAAATTAAAGGATGAATTTAAAAAATTTTAAAATAAAAGACTTATTTGGAGTTAAAAACTATTTTAAGTAACTATGGTTTGAATAAAAATATTTTTTAGAAAAACAAATCAAATGAGAGAATAATAATCAAGAGAATTCAAATTAGATGATCCAACATCTTGGTACATGAAAGCATATAATTCTCAATGAATTTAACTTAACGTGATAGTGAAAATCACAAACAATTACAAATTAAATATTCTTGAAAACATAGCAAATCCATTACCCGCAAAGAGGGCTACAACTCGAAGGAATAACCATAAAGCTTGGAATAAACCAATTGATGACTTGATGTAGCTACAATCCCTTCTCTTATTACATCAATATCAAGCACATAAATTAATCTTGGAGTGAATCATATGGTAGTTGAAATCACAAAGCGAAGTGCTTCTATTTTATTAAAGGTAGGAGGTGATATATAACGGTGAGGAAAGGGATGGGATAGAGAGAGGTGATAAAGACATGTAATAATACGGAGTTGGATGGAATAAAGAGAGTGGGGAAAGAGACTTGAAGGTTTGAGGTGGAATCGAATATAATGAAGGACATAAAGACTTACATATGCAATAAGGGTGAAATAAAGGAAATTGAGAAAAATGGGAACTTTAGATGACAAGTGGGTTACGTGGAGTTTATTTGTAATATGTGGGAGGTGGAGGCGACTTGTAAACGTATGGAGGAGGTGGGGGTGACTTGTACACATATGGAGGTGGCGGCGGTGACTTGTATACATATGGAGGAGGTGGTGGTAATTCGTACTTGTATGGAGGAGGAGGTGATTCGTATTTGTATGGTGGAGGCGGGGGTGACTTGTACACATATGGAGGCGGAGGTGGTGATTCATACTTGTATGGTGGAGGTGTTGGTGACTTATAGACATATGGAGGAGGTGGTGGTGATTCATATTTGTATGGAGGTGGTGGTGTTGATTCGTACTTGTATGGAGGTGGTGGTGGTGACTCGTACTTATATGGAGGTGGTGGTGGTGATTCGTATTTGTATGGTGGTGGAGGTGGTGATTCATATTTGTATGGAGGAGGTGGGGGTGACTTGTACGAATATGGGGGTGGAGGTGGTGACTCGTACTTGTATGGAGGAGGAGGTGGTGATTCATATTTGTATGGTGGAGGTGGGGGTGACTTGTACACATATGGCGGTGGAGGTGGTGATTCGTACTTGTATGGTGGAGGTGGAGGTGACTTGTACACATATGGAGGCGGAGGTGGTGATTCATACTTGTATGGTGGAGGTGGTGGTGACTTATAGACATATGGAGGAGGAGGTGGTGATTCATATTTGTATGGAGGTGGTGGTGGTGATTCGTACTTGTATGGAGGTGGAGGTGGTGATTCGTACTTGTATGGAGGTGGAGGTGGTGATTCATACTTGTATGGAGGAGGTGGGGGTGACTTGTACAAATATGAGGGTGGAGGTGGTGACTCATACTTGTATGGGGAAGGTAGTGGAGACTTGTATTTGTATGGAGGCGGAAGGGGAGACTCGTACTTGTATGGAGGAGGTGGTGGTGACTTGTACTTGTATGGTGGTGGAGGTGGAGACTCATACTTGTATGGAGGAGGAGGTGGTGGTGACTTGTATTTGTATGGAGGTGGAGGTGGAGACTCATATTTGTATGGAGGTGGTGGTGGAGACTTGTATTTGTATGGAGGTGGAGGTGGAGACTCATACTTGTACGGAGGTGGTGGTGGCGCCTTGTATTTGTATGGTGGAGGTGGTGACTCGTACTTGTATGGAGGAGGTGGTGGTGACTTGTACTTGTATGGAGGTGGAGGTTGTGACTCATACATATACGGAGGAGGTGGTGGTGACTTATATTTATATAGAGGTGGAGGTGGAGACTCATACTTGTACGGTGGTGGTGGTGGTGGGGACTTGTACTTGTATGGAGGTGGAGGTGGAGACTCATACTTGTAAGGAGGTGGTGGTGGTGAGTCGTACTTGTACGGATGTGGTGGTGGTGAGTTGTACTTGTATGGAGGTGGAGGTGGAGGTGGCGACTTGTATAGATATGGAGGTGGTGGCGATTCGTACTTGTATGGAGTCGGCTCGCCGTCAGCAACTACATTGCTTATTATCAAGCACACTACCAAAGCATAGGATAGGTAAGGCCAAATCTTGGCCATTTTGAGGGAATAAAGCAGAAAAACTCCCAACTTCTTTGTACTTTCTATACCGTACAAATAGAAGACTATTTGTAATTATGTTTTGTGAACTACAACCGAGAGCTTGAAGTTTATATAGTAAGCTCCCCAATATCCTATACAATTTTAAATTGGTCCACGTGAAACTTCCTCTCTCTAACCATCCAAATAATTTATTTCCATATGTTCATCAAATGTCAAATTAATTATTGAAAGAGGAATGTGACCTGCCACTAACTCCCCCTAGACTAGAAGCTGTCGATAAAAGTTGTACTTTAAATGTTCTCAACAAACTTCTTTTATTAAAAAGTTATTGAAATCTTCAACTAAATATATCATTTCATTTCTCACAAAATCGGCGACTTCCCAAGCAATAACTATTTTATTATTAATAAACATTGCTATAGTAATTTACTTTTTCGTCATGAAATTAAATAAATACAAAAAAATAAAAGTTTACGTGTAAATATTTGTGTAAAATTTTAATTAGATAATTTTGGTTAAATTTCATTATGTATGAATTTTATTTGAATTTTGAAAATATACTGTTTATTAAACTTTTCATATTATAATTGTAACTTGAAAATTCTGAAAATAAATTTCTTTTGGCAATTGAAAAAGAACAAATTTGTGAAAGTCATAATAATAATAATATCACTGTCGGTCCAACTGGATGGGTAATTGATAAATCACCTCCCCCAGACTTAGTCACGGTGTATATCTAAAAAGAGTAAGTCATTTTCGTGTCTTGAAATATCAATTTGGTTTTCTACTTAAAAACATGTATTTAAAAATAATTTAAATACTTTACCAAAAAATATAAAATATAAAATTTAGGTGAAAATTAAGTATCTTATCAATGTATTTGTACTTAAATCGATTAATTTATACAATATTGTATTTATATGTCATGCCATCATAGATCCATAAAAAGAGATTTTTTTTGAAAAATGAGAACTGGATTTTATAGAGACGATAGTCACCAAAATACTCATACAAAAAAAATTAAAACTAAAGATACGAAGAAAATTAAAATCTTCCAATGAGAATGACACCTACATCAAAAGTTAATAACCTTATAAAAACTATGTCTCTGTCGAATGAGACGCTTGATGAAGTGATAAAGGAGTGGAGAGCAAACCAAATAGTCTGGTAGGTTGTTTTGCTATACAATCTGATTATATCACCAACCAACCTTTTAGCAAAAGATGAGATCTGACTAGCTATACATGACCGTCGACTAACCAATCAGAATATAAATGTCGTGATGATTTTTGTTGGAGAACCAAAACGGCCCCACAGATATACAAAAAACGTATCAACAACCATGAGGATTTTGCCACAATAGTAGAGAAAACGCGTGCAACAAGAGCAGAGAAAAATCATGTCACAAAGACAAAGAATCTTATTCAAAATTAAAAATACTCAAGCAAAAATGATAAAAAGACATAATATAAAAAACAAGAGAATTAATAATCACCGGTGGTCAGCAACTAGCAATAAGATTAGTGTCACTGACAGCTAAACAAAATTAAAGAGAAATAAGAATACGTCACAAAAATATTAAAAGAAAATAGGTTAAAAGAGAAGAGAGTCAGCTAGGGTTTTTTTTTCTTTTATGGGTAATATAATTTTGTATTTTATAAAGAGAAAATTAAATATATAATATTATATGATAATTATTAGAGAAAGTATATATATTAGTTATTGGTGTTTAATTTTTTTAATTAATCATTGGTATTACTGACCGATTAATCAGATCAGATACTGCGATAAGGACGATCCTCTTAACCCTGATTACTACATCTACAAACGCTAAGGTTTGAAATTTGAGATTGTTTAAGAAATCTAGTGCATCGTCTCAACTAGATCAACTGGTCAATGGTTATTAGTGTTTAAATTTTAACAAAAGATAAAATACAAATAATTAATAAGAAAATGTTATTAGAAAAATTCAAAGTCAAATTTTATATTAAACTGAATAAAGTTGACATTATATTGAAGCTCGACCGGTTTATCTTGATCTGTCTACAGCACTATTATAATCTAAAGTATTTCATTGATCAATTAAAATATTTTGTATTAGTATCAAATTCAATGAGACGAGCCAAGTTAAAGTAGACATGGTACCAACTGATGGACTAAAAGTCAACACGCGGCAACAAATGGATGCACGTTATGTACGTATTGAATTGTTAAGCACTTCCTATTTATTTTATAGCATATATATATATATATATATATATTAAAATGGGTTAAAAGTTTATTTTTAAGATTAGATTTAATAATTTATTATTATTATTATGTTGTTATTTAGGAATGTAGATATGTAATTTAAGAAAAAATAGTTTTCTTTTATTGGTGTGCTACTTATTTTTTTTCGTCTTTATTAATTGGCGACGATATTAATTTTAATATTGATTGTCGTTTGTCATTATTTTTTATTGTCTTTTTCTTTTTTATATCATATCTTTATTTTTTTATTTTCCATAAGTCTATGTGTTACATGTTTTCATATGCATGTATGACATGTTTTCTTATGCTTTTGACATGTTTTTCGATTCTTTGGTCATTTCTTCATTTACCTTTTTTTAAGGGTTGATTTGACATCGCGACGACTGATCAAGATGGTGTTTATCTACTATCTTGTTGATCTTTCCTGCTTTTGACCATCTGATTGGATTTGGACACCCGATTTGCGTTCGTGGATACCTTTCACGTCGCTCGAGTATGATTTGTGATTTGTCGGTGGTCTTTCAATAGTTTGATCTCTTTTATGGTTTGTTTACCAATGCGATCAGATATGTTTGTATCTATCTTTGTGTGAGTTTCTTTGTTAAATTTCATCTTTACTTATATGGTCCTTATGTAATATTAAGTTACTAGGTTTGTTTAAGTGATTATAGGAAATTTTCCTAAATATTTACTTAATTTACGATTGTGATCGTAAATCTTTATTATAATTTGAAATATTTCTTATTTTGAATAAAATTAGTTACTGTTATAATAAAAAAAAAGGAATATAGATGAAATATTGAATTGATATCAATTAAATTTATTAATTTCATTAATTTAAAAGATTCGTATTTATACATGATATTTCCAGTTTAAACAAACATGAAAAAAGTTAATGATATTTTTTTTTAATCTTTTAAATTGTTCTACTAAATCTGCCGCTTAAGATTTGGTCTCTACCAAAATACGATAAAAAAAGGACAAAACCTTCGTAAAACAAATTGAACTTGCTTTGTACACCTAGTTTTGGTGGATGAGCCTCTCAGCGGATATTTTCTACGTATACAATGACTCAAACTCGAGAATACTTAACGATATTAGATTACTTACTACTTAAACCAACTCATTGGTATTTGATTGCAATCTTTTAGATAAAAACTCATTCAATCTATAATTCAAAATTATTTGAAAGAAAAATTATTTAACAGAAATCTAAAATGTCCAGCTATCTGCCGTTGCTTATAAATATGGATTCTACGTTCAAAGGATGGATGATTAAGGGGACTAGTTCAATAGTTGGCCATATTACTTGGCCACGTTACCCATAAATCGCACTTAAACCACACCATTAATCTTACTGATTTCTCCCTCCATTTCTAGAAGCTAATCGGTTGAGGTTGACACTTTCTTTATCTTATCATGAATACCAAATACTAGAAAGATATTTCGACAACTACCTCTATACTTTTTCGACATCCAGTATTAATTCAAATGATATTAATATTTAATAAAAAACAAATGATATTAATATTTAATAAAAAAACAAATGATACTAATATTATTATAAATTTAAATGAATTTAGATACGCACAATTCAAAAACATATTGTTATTGTGTTGCTTCTAAAGTGGGTGGATCTTTTCTTTTCTTCATGCTTTTCCTACCTTAATTGTGTGTTTCATTTTCTATATAAATTATGTGTTTCAGTGACTCAAGTTTCAAGGCAAAAACTCATTTTCTTCCATCACATTTCTCTCATTCCTCTGTGGGTTTCTTGATTGCTTTGTAATTAATTAATTCGGAAAAGGAAAGGGGTAGTTACAAAATTAATCTTTGAATTTAGTTATCTTTTAATTTCAGTCATGAAATTTTAAGCTTAGTTACATGCATTTTATTTTCTACATAAATTCATCTAATAATATGTCTATTATTTTCTCGTGCCCCATGTCGTAAAATCACGTTGGATAAAAATTTTAATATCATAATTTAAAATTTCTAACCCCATCCCAACCACAACCATAGGCTATGGTGATACTAATATGACTTAATTTGAGACTGTTTTTAGCCGTTTGCTTTCATTTCTATTTTTTATTTATATAATAAAATTATTTATTAATTATTATTATATCTCCTTTTATCACATTCTGCATATAACCAAAAAAAAATATTTCTATAATAGTATCATAATGTAACAAAGAAGCCTTTTTCTTCTTTTTCCTTTTTTTCCAATCAGAACTTAAATGTCTTAAATGTGTATATATATATGTGTGTCCCATATGCATCAATTAATTATTAAATAATTTTGCATGATTTGAAGTTAGTAATGTTGTCACTCATTTCAAAAATATATATAATATATACTTTTTGAAACATTATTGAATATATATATATAATATATAATTTTGAAAACATTTTTTGAAAAAATATAATATATAGTTTTGGAAAACATTTTTCGAAAACGTATATAATATATAGTTTTGGAAAATATTTTTTGAAAATATATATAATATATAGTTTTGGAAACATTTTTTGAAATATATTCAATATATAGTTTTGAAAACATTTTTTTTGAAAATATATATAATATATAGTTTTGAAACCTTGTTTTCTAAAAACATTTTTGAAAGCATATATAATATATAGTTTTTTTTAAAAAAAAAAACATATAATATATAATTTTGAAAACGTTTTTGAAAACAAATATAATATATTTTTAAAAACATATAGTATATAAATTGTTTTCCAAAAAAATGATTTTTTAAACATATAATTTTTGACAACACGTTTTATATAGTTTTTATTATTATTACATTAT